CGATGGTCATAACGAATAAATAGTTCCCCTGAGTAATTATATTCTGTAGTGACATTGATAGGCATAGTTGTTTTTGGTTTAACAACATAATCATCGCCGGCGTAAATTTTTGTTTTTCCGTTGGTTTCATTTACATCAGGCGTTTGCATAAAAACTAATTCATTATCAGTTTTCAAAATAATCACATTCGGCTTCTCAGTAAATGATTGCCCGACCAAAATAGAAGTATTTAAATAACAGTCTTCTACTACTAAAAGTTCCGTCTCGGCTGTGACAGGGCCTATTTGTAATGTGCCTAGAAATTTACCTAAAGGTTTTACTGAAGATTTACCAAAACCCTGCAGAATTGGTACATTATCAGTAGCCCAACTACTTTGTAAAAGTTTTGCGTCAGTTTGACGAATGAGAGTACATTTGCTACCTAGATCAATGTATCCCCTGAACATAATGTCCCCTACTTTGACATCTTTATAGAATTAAGCGTTATCGGACTCACCATTAGTAACACACATGACGCTTTTAGTTTGATCACTCAAACTATTTTAACCTGATCGTCAGTGTTGTTGCTATTCCTTGTTCGACAGTCTTTAGTATCATGGTCCAATTTAAAACAAAAGCTGCACTTCCTTATTGGTTTATTGCACTTTAAGCTTATGTGTCCCATTTCATTACAATTAAAACATCTAATGGTATCTAGGCTATTATTCACCCTACCAAATTCATTTGTCGTCTTATTTGGGTGTTTATTTAGGGTGGTACTCCGGTTGCGATTATTGATAGACTGCGCATTACTATCATGCTGAGACACTGTACGCAAGTAATTAAGAACTTGTTCTGGTTCATTAAACATACAGGAACTTGCTCCCATTCTTACAAACTTGACATCAATACCATGTATAAGACAACCTACTGCCTTTTTGCCACTTATTTCACATTTATTTATAAGTGCTATTTTATCGTAGTAATAGTGTTCTAAAGATTGCCCAAACCTACATCTAAATTTTAACATTGTTGTTAGCATATCTCCATAATTTTCATTTGACGGAAAAGCTTGTTTTAATTTTTGTGTCCAGTCATTCCAATTATACAAAACTGAGGGTAGACCCTGATACCATTTTTTGGCTAAACCATTTAATTTGGGAAGAGCATAGTGACATATTTGTCGTTCATTCCAAGAGTAAATTTGTGCACATTCGTTAACCTTATTAATCCAATTTTCGATTGTCTGACTATTATCACTTGGGTCAAATTCTGGGACGACACTAAATGCAACTGGAAAATTGTTTTGCGCCCAAAAATTTGGGTGTAAGATAGTGTTATTTGAGATACAGTTATTGTTTGATGAAGCCATGTAAGGTTGACTCGTCACTGGGACTGGACTACCCGTCTGAATCGAAGATCTCAACGGGGGAGTTTTAGTTAATTCTCGGTTATTCCTATTGGGTGACATATTATGTTTTCGACGTCGGCGAGCTTGTCGGTCACTACGTTTGTTACGTTTTTGTGAATTGAGGCTATGTCTCTTTTTATTACGACCCGACCTACTTTCATAATCGACACTGTCCCTAGACTCTGAAGAAAAAGAAGAAGAATCCACGCTTGGATCCCGCCGTTTTCGCTTACTTTTCCCCATAATGGCTACTATTGATGCCAAGAGCAAATGATTCAAGGTAAGTACAGAAAAATATGGAAGTACAAATATAACAACGTTATTTCATAACAAAAGTGTACAGACTCCTTACAGTTATGTTTAAATACGAAAAATAAAGCCAATACTCTATAGTTCAGCTAAAATATTGTGGGTAGAGTTCAAAATGATCAAACAAAGGTTTTTAGTTTATTATCCTAAACAATTATTCACTTAAATCACTTTAAATGCTTAAATCACTTAGATTTCACTGTTAGTTTATTTATTTGGTTGTTAGTGTTGTTCAAAGAACGCAGTCTTATTTATTATCTTTTGTAAATCACAGTACACATAAAAATAATTGGATTCACATTCTGACCTTACGCATCGAAGATCCAGGAGACCGCAGCCACAGGCACGTAGATCACTGCACATCCCACTTCTGACTGTTAAATTAAACTCACTTTCACTCGGTAATAATGTTTATTCTTCTACACTTACAACATCACGGACTAATTACAGCGTTACCGCTCCAGCTCTGACTAACAGAATCAAACTAACCGTAATTGAATGTGCGATTTGAATTGCAGCGTTCCGACCACGTCGAATGTCGGCGAAAAACTATATCGGACTACCTCCTACTAACGTCTTTTATACTGTTCTCACAAATATGGTGTTGCCATTATCAACAGTTGAACGAATGATTTTGAATTACTAATCGATATACATTTTTTTTAATTTTAACTACATTAAATTATTCTTTCAATGCATAATTTTCTATAAGCTAACAGGTGAGTTACTTGGTTCTTCCACAAGTGTCCTGAATTCTGCAGATTTCATGACTGGACTGTACGAGGTAGATGGTTAATCGCTGTTTTCGAGGAGACCGACAGAAGGTCACTGCTATCTAGATTAAGAGGACTAAATTAAAAAATTGACGTCAAGGTCTTCTAATGTTATGCGACTGAAAGCTGGAGATTATTCATTATCGGCTGGATTTGGTTTAATAATTCCAGGGATAGCTATATCTGGCGTTACAGAAGAGCCTAGGACAGGGTCCCGGGTAGCAGGCTGAGTGAGGCTAGTGTCAGATAAGTTTTCTGCAGTGGATTGAATGGGATTAACAGGAAACCGAGAAAGGGCGTCAGCGCTTGCATTGATCTTCCCTTTTTTATATAGAATATCGTACTCAAACTCCTCCAGATTGAGACGCCACGGACAAGACAAGAACCGGGGTCCTTTCAGTTGAAAAGTCATTGCAGTGGCTGTTTTGGTACCAAATATTATAGCAAGACATTCTTTTTCAGTTATGCTGTAATTATTTTCTGCTTTATTAAGCGTGCGTGACGCGAATGCAATTGGACGATCTTGTCCAACAGGACCTTGAGACAAAATAGCTGAAATGGCATAATTAGAAGCGTCGCAGGTTAGAAGAAATGGTAGACTAAAATCAGGATAGGCTGATAAGACTGGCGCGGAGGTGAAATTATCTTTTAAGGTTTCGAAAGCAATTTGCTGTTCATGTTGCCATACAAAGTTGGCATCTTTTTTAGTAGAGACGTGAGAGGTGTAGCCAATTTAGCGAAGTCGGAAATAAATCTTCGATAATATGATACCAGTCCTAGGAAAGATTTAATATCTTTGCGGAACTGGAAAATCTTTTACTGCTTTTGTTTTCTCAGGGTTTGATTTAACACCATGTTCACCAATGATGTGACCCAAGTAAGTTACTTCAGTGTGCAGGAGTTCACATTTTTCTGGTTTTAATTTCAGGTTAAAGTTACGAAGTCTACTGAAAACGGCTTTAGGATTAGAAATGTGTGATTTTAGATCAAGGAGTATATTTTGCCAAGTTGATCAAGGATGTCGGATATTTGTGGGACAGGATAGGTTTCACCGATAGTAACGTCATTTAATTTGCGGTAATCAATAACTATTCGCTATTTGCGTTGACCTAGAGAGTCTGCCTTTTTGGGTATTACCCAAATGGATGAGCTCCAAGGTGAAGATGAGGATTCTATTATGCCTTGATTGAGCATTTCATTTATTTGGATTTCCACTCCTTTCTTATGAGACTCTGGAAAGTGGTACGACTTTGTATGGATTGGAATATCACTGTTTGTTTTAATTTGATGGTTAAGAGTGGAAGTATGTGTTAGTTGGTCCTTAGGTAGATGATTTATATCTGAGTATTGGGAGCAAAGTTCTAGGAGAGCATTAGTCTTGTCTTTATACAAAGGTTCTTGATGCGGTATTCATAATTGTATTGATGTGAAATGCGGCAGAACCCAAAGGTTCTATGATGAGGTTTAGGTTTCGATTGATATTAAAAGCATATTCAGAAGTATTAGCAATGGTTAAATTTACTCGATTATGGTCCTTAACTTTCACGATACAATCAGAGATTAAAAGATTTTCGGATATGTGTTGGTCTACTATTATTCCCTCTTTCAGTCGCCAAAAGTGGTAAGGAAATCTGAACCTATGATTCCATCATAAGGTAAGTTAATGGTTTTAATGGCATGAAATTTAAAGGGTACAATTTTTTTCATCCAATTTGAGCTTTAGATTGAAATGACCTTCTGTTAGGGTTGGTTCGTCACCAGGGTCTATTCCTTTAAGTTTAATTGGTTCTTTTATGAGTTTTTGGGTTTTGTGAATACTAGACTGCTTTAGTAGACATATGGCTGATCCTGAATCAACAAGTAAGGATAGTGGGATGTCGGACACTGGTGAATTAAGGACTACATGTGGTAATAATCTTTTAGTGGTATCTAAATTAACTTCATATATTTTAGCATCAGTGTCCTTGGCAATATGTTGAATAGGATTATGGCCTATAATTGGTTCTTTTATGAGTTTTTGGGTTTTGTGAATACTAGACTGCTTTAGTAGACATATGGCTGATCCTGAATCAACAAGTAAGGATAGTGGGATGTCGGACACTGGTGAATTAAGGACTACATGTGGTAATAATCTTTTAGTGGTATCTAAATTCATATATTTTAGCATCAGTGTCCTTGGGAGTATGTTAAATAGGATTATGGCCTTCGGTTTGGGGCTGGGTACTCTGTCGATGGGCCTGAGATCGGGTAGTGACATGGCCTTCGGTTTGGGGGATGGATACCCTGTCGGTGGGCCCGAGAATGGGTAGTGACATGGCTTTCGGTTTTTTTTATACATGGCCGGCCTACAATACAGCCAGGCCCTACACTTGTCCCCACTTTGTAGCAGGCCCTTGTTTTGCTATTTTTGTCATACATACCAGTTCTCGCGTTTTTACCTATTATACTTCCATACTGCATACGACACTTACATTCTTCTTCTTTTATGCTTTTGCGGGGGGATTACCCGCCTATACTACTATGTGTTCCTATTCTACTTTTATTTATTTATCTTATTTATTTTTATATCTATGGAATATGGGATAAGGTGTTTGGGTTCTTATAATACTATGTTTTATTAAATGTGTTCTGATTTTACATTTGTTTCTTTCTCTTTACTTCTTAATTTTTACATGCTATATAACTTATTCTATTAGTTTTATTTCTTTATTTATTATACTTTCACAATTTTTATATATTTCTTGTTTATTGTCTTATTTTGTTACATTTATTTCTTTTCATCATGGCTTTCGGTTTGAGGTTGGATACCCTGTAGGCGGGCGTGAGAATGGGTAGTGACATGGCCTTCGGTTTGGGACTGGATACCCTGTCGGCGGGCCTGAGAATGGGTAGTGACATGGTCTTCGGTTTGGGACTGGATACCCTGTCGGTGCTGAAAATTTATTGAAGTCATATGGGAACTGGTGTCGTTTTGGTTGGCTAATAATAGAGAAGGATGTATTGGGCTCGCGAGACACCGTCGGGAGCCCTTTATTCGTTTAAATCCGGGTTTGAGTTATCTACTTCGCCTCGGTTATCATCTTGGTCAGTTTCTTCAACATAGTGCACACGTGGAGTGGGCCTGTAGTACTTTGTTTGTTTGAAGAGGCTTGACACCCTGAAACGGTTATTATTGAACTCTCGCTTTTTGCAAACGCTTATATCATGTCCGATTGTTTTACAGTATCGGCAATAAGGTTCTTGTGAAGCATAGAAGGCAGCCCTTTGAATTGAGGACGCAGGGAAGGGCGCTCTTTGGATTGAGGATGTAGTGAAGATTGGTCTGCTCGAAAAACCGTTCTTGACAAAGTTTCATACAAACTTTCATCCCCTATTTTATACCCTTGGGAGTAGAATTGATCAAAATCCTTTCTTAGCGGATGCTTACGTCATAACATCTACCTATATGCCAAATTTCAGCCCGATTCGTCCAGTGGTTTGAGCTGTGCGTTGATGTTAGTCAGTCACCTTTGAGTTATATATATTTAGATAACTTAACCAACAATGACTTGTAATCTAAATGTTACAAGTAAAGTTGTTTTCTTTTTACCAAAAAAAATCAAAGACAGGTAATTTTACCTTAGAATAGAATGACATTTATTAAACAGAGATAATGAAGAAGTATTTAAAAAAACGAAAGCACTAATAAGCACCTCCACTAGATGGCGACTCTAGCAAAAGCTGGTTTTTGCAAGAAACGAATGGATCAAAGACAGTCATTTCCGTTCCTTTTAACTAACATAATTAATTAAAAAACTGAAATATGAAAAGTTCGAAACTTAGATATCAATACAAATACGAAAAAGTACAAATTGAATATAAGTTGTTTATTGAGTATTGAAAACCAATTTACTTTTAAACATTAAAGAAAACCGGAAGGGTTTTCATAGAGAAATCAAGAACGTACCGGAACGACATCTAGTTTGATTTCGGGAACTAATGTTTTTTTTAAATACTTCCTCATTAATTACACATTACAATACTATACACATCTAAAAACTCGTTGTTTTAGTGAAAGTAATAGGTATAGGTGTACATTTAATATTAGTTTAGATTTTTGAAAAGTCGTAAAATATTGAGGTAACCATCTTATACAATTGTTTGAAGAAAGGCGAAATAAGTAAATGTTGTCTTCAAAATCTGAAATTAATGAAAAAATGAATAAGTAGGTTTCCAAAAAACTTAAAAAGGTAGGTATATAAATATTTAACCAGAACTATTTCCTTTTTTATTATTAATTGTTTAATAAATATGAATTAACGACCTACGCACAAGTGTTGAATACTCGTAGAATACGGAAGAATAGTCAATTTTTTTCCATTTGTTTCCGTACTTATATTTCTATATGAAAATTTACTAGCAATCTGAATGCTCCAAATTCATTTTGTTATCATTGATGTTTATCACAGTTCAGTCCCAATTTACGTAACACCGGAATCTTATTGATCAGCTGATGTTATGCCACATCAATCAGCCATCATGCCGGACACTTTATTTACTTATTTATAAACATGGTAGTTAAAACTAATATATATTATTTTTAAATGATTTAATACTTCTTTCTGCGTCAACTTGCAGTATAACTTCATAAAAATTGATTATATAATAATCCAAGATATGATTTGTGTAATTTGGGGGAAGAAACATAATAAGAATATAATTGTTTAAATATCTGCTTACTCGAGCCATAGTTTGTACACCGACAATTATTGATCCTAAGGCAGACACTTTTACAGGCTCTTGTACTTTTCTTAGAAAGAACCACATTATTCGTTGGTTTTTGATGTTCATACACTCCCAAGGTATGCCATAAACTGCGTCAATAAGTCGCTCGGTCTGAAAGATTCGGGTACATGATTTGAAATATCATCGCTTAAATAGCTCGTATATCAAAATTTGAAGTCAGTTGTACTTAAAGCTAAAAGTCTCTTTAGTAAAATAATCTAATAAATAATAATTTAAAGTTCAAATGAACCGACTATAACCTTTTGTTTAATTTTTTGGTTTAAATTTTAAACCAACAAGAGTTGCAAACCGGTAGGCGTACTCCTCTGTAAATGGTATATGCTCAATGGGCATGCTCGTTCTTTATAACAGAGTGCTTAGTTTGAGTTTTATTTGATATTTACGTTTCACGCTCGATAGCGAGCACGTTTAGAATTTGTATGGAATCTAAAAAGCGTCATCTAGTGACACACTGGCTGATACATATTTGCGAGTTGGTGTTTTAAAGGCGTTCACCCGTGAATCTGAAGATCGATTCACGCTTGCAAGCGAATGTGTTTCGTGAATATCGCGAGCATGAGTCATATGTTTTCACTAACTGCGGTGAATTTTACGTAAACGGAAGGGAAAACTTCTCACTTGAATTTATGAAATGAGAATTAAATTCACAACTTTCAAAATGTTTGTCATCATCCCATTATTATTTTATTATAAAACACATTAGTGTTTTATAATAAAATAAGAATGGGATGATTATTTTATTACGCATTGAGTATGTTTCCAGCTACTAAATAATGAGATAACCTTGACTAGAATGTTAAAGTTATAAAAGAGCTCGGTGCTAAATAGGTACTTAGTTTTATTATGGAACTCAGCCGAACTCCATTTATACCTAGTCTAGCCATACGTTCTGTTACAAAAAAAAAATATCCCATGATTTAAAAAAATATATTTTTATTTTAAAGTTTTATATGTGATTATGTAGAGTGAAACCGAAATGTTAACGTCTCTTACAACGTCGGTCGTTTGGAACGGTCGTACGTGGATTGTAAGTGCAATACCTACCTTCGCAAAATAGTAGGGAGCCCACGATGCTAAATCGGGATTTACTCGAGCGTCATAGAGACCTATAGGGTTGCGAAGCTTATATGATAACAAAAAAAAAATTCACATAATATATGCCTTTTCTCGGTGGGGGAAGCGGCTATAGATTTTTAAAAATGTAAAAAAAAAGCTGTTGTATGAACATACTCGAGCGCGTCAGATATTAATATCATCCATGACCTACGCATTTTTAAAAACTGTCGTTTGTTAATCTGATCGTTTCCATGATGGGGGTGGTTATACGTAAGGGTTGAAAATGAAAAAAAATAAATTAATTAGCGCGTCAGATTTTTTGAGGGGATGTTAAGTGAACCTAAAAAAAACTTTCATATAATAATCTGACGATTTGGATGTGACGCAAACGCGTGACCATTATTAGAATGTGCAAAAAAAAAAAATCGTTGGAAATACGATGTAAACAATATCACGCCACGAACGAGTCTGTGTCATCAGCTGTCATGGAGTCATGGCAACCGAAAGTGGGGGCGGAGTGAGAGAGTAATAGATAGAAAAAGAGTGAGAGAGAAATAGTGATGCGGAGAAGGAAATATAGGTATCACGTAGCTGCACGCATTAAATCTTATCGATGATTTATTATTACTTCGGCTTGTGAAAATCGTCAGATTATATATTTTTCGTAATCCTTGATTGCTTCCCTCCAAAATTAAAATAAAATTAGCCACGCTTGAGAATGTCAAAGTGACGTTTTTTTTACAACATTGTAGCCTTCCCCCTTCTTTACGTCACTCTTAAATTGTCAGATTAGAGATATGTACACATTTTAGCATGTAACTAGCTCACCTTACCTTAATCTGACGCGCTCGAGATTTTCAGATGATCAATTTTTTTTTACTAATCTGATCCTTCGTCCTTGCCGGGCGGCCATTTTTATAGGGCTCATACTTGGTCCAGGTACTTAGCTGGGTACAAGGTATCTCCCTGTATATTAATCAGCCGCGCTTAAGTAAATCCAGAAATCTACGCTTGAGCTCCCCTACTAAAAATGGTGCAATACAAAAAATGAAAATTGTTTGTGTCTATGAATAAAGACGAGCTCATACAATGTTAAGGAAATTGTGATAATATTTACCACAAAAAGTGTGCATCAAAGTTACTACAAAATAATTTATGTGAAATCCGCGTAAAGAAATCTGAAATAAATTCGCCCGCACCGGCTTCGCTAAGATTGCATTATAACTTTATGCATACATCGTCAGTCGAAGCAATGATAAAAGAGATAAACAGAAAAATGGAAGTGATCTATAAAATCGAAACAAAATTAGACAACTCTTTGGAACTCATTGAATTCTACTCCAAAAAATATCAAAAAATGGTGGAATTTAAGGAGACTTCAGAAAAGAAAAAAGAAAAAAAAAAGTGCAGGACTTAGAATTAAAAATAAAAGAAAAGTGTGTCGAAATAATAGGACTAGAAAAGTATGGTAAAAATGAGAATACATTTGAAGTAATTAAAAAACTATCAAACGCTTTAAAATTAAATCCCGATAATATAGAAGGCAAAGAAAAACGGATGGGAGACCGCAGCCGATCATTGTTGGACTTTGTACAAAACAGGCCCGGGACGAGTGGATTATGGCCCGTAAAAACCTTCTCACGAATGCACAAGTTTTGGGTACAAAATATAAATATCCTAATTAAGAAGAATGATTCTGACAAGATTTATAATATACGTTCAGAAATCGATATTACTATATTTAAACATAATAGAATCAGTCAAGGCGCTTGAGCCGCGCGTATACCTACACTACGTATTTTTTTCTCAACATAATATCCAACTACTTTCAAGATGTACCGACAGATATTGAATTTGCGAGATATGAAGACATGACAGAATGGACTAAAAATAGTGTCCAAAACAAATTACATATTGTACATTTTAATATACGTTCATTACGAAAGCATTACAACGACCTTCAAGTGTTACTGTATCTATCACGGAATTCGGGGAATTATGGGAGACTAAAGTAAACGCCACGGCCATTTAAACGCAACTGTTTATTGGTTACTCCTAGCAATAAAACAAAAGTACAATCTGTCACATTCCTACGGGAGAAAAACCGGAAGGTTGTATAAAATTAACAGAATGTAAAAATAAAATATTCTAAGTACCATAAACACAATAAACTTACTAAAAGGTCAGTCTGTCAGGTGGTCGTGAAATATGACCAAAACGAGTAGTTAACTGTCGGTCAGTAGTTAACAGTCGGTCAGTAGTGGAGTCAGCAGTCTCGTCAAGATTAGTGTCAGAAGTGTGGTTAGACCCTGAATTTCGCCTATCCTCAGCCGTGTTTGCAGGTTCTTGATGAAGTTCTAGAGGATAAAGCCGTTGAAAAGGTCTAACTTTATAACCATTGCCGATACGAACTTTTGCCACACGCTCTTGACCGTCGCGACCCGCGTACGTCTCTACAATTACTCCTAAAGGCCACATCAATCGCTTGCACTCGGAGCCTACTAACACTATATCACCCTTGTGTAACAAATAATCCTCGTTTTTGACAGAATTTTTCTGTATAAGATTACTGATATATTCCGTACGAAAACGTTGGCGAAAATGCTCACGGACTTCTTGACAATATTTGGCTCTCATGTTTAGAGCTTTACTGTCGATCTCGTCTAAGTCTTCAACGGAGTTTCCAGTCAAGGGTTGTATGAAGGACTGGGGTGTAAGTGGTCGTAAATCGTCAACGGCATTACTGACATATGTCAGTGGTCGGTTATTAATCGTAGTCTCGCAATCGCACAAAACGGTTTGCAATTCCATTAACGACACAGAAGCTCGACCTAGAATTTTCAATAGAATTTGCTTGACCATTCCTACCATTCTCTCATAAAACCCTCCCCACCACGGAGCACCGGGAGGTGAAAATATCCATTGTATTTTGCGTAGTGCCGAAAAACTTATTATATTATTCCACTCTAAAGAATTAAGCATATTATGAACACCAACAAAATTAGTGTCGTTATCGCTGTAAATACATCGAACCCTGCCACGACGTGCTGTAAATCGTCTTAAAGCTTGAATAAAATCGTTACTAGACAGCAACTCCACGACTTCCAAATGTACTGCGCGATAAGTAGCACACGTGAACAATGCTATCCAGCATTTAGTTCGAGTTTTCAGCAACAACGGTCCGGCTAAATCGACCCCTGTTACCTCAAACGGTGCACTTGCATCTGTGCGATTTTTTGGTAGTTTTGCCGGCTGTACTTGTTGTGGTTTTGCTTTAAACCTTTTGCAAATGATACATTCCTTTACGACCTTTTTTACCAATCTTCTTACGCCAATAATCCAAAGGGTCTCCCGTAAATTTATGATGAGAGTTTGAGTCCCAGCATGGTGTAAAAATTTATGACGTTCTTCAACGAAACGTTGAACTATGATATCACGAGCTGGTAATACTATTGGACACTTAAAATCGTAATTGTCAGCTGTGTCATCTAACCTTGTAATTAAACGACGAATGTTGTCTTTATCAATTAACGTTTGTAAGTTATTTATTATACTACTAGCTTTCGCCAGCGGCTTCGCTCGCGTGGTTCCTAAGGAAATGTTTAGTGAGATAAAAAATAATTTAAATAATTCTGTAGGTATATCCAGAGTAAAGTAAATGTGACCTAACTAACTTCTATTTTTTTTCATTAACAATTTCATGTTTGCCAGTCAATCACGCTGCAACCACTGAACAGATTTTTATAATAATAAATCATACAACATCGATTATGACTATCTTATAATATTGATCTATATACGATGTTGTATGATCTATTATTTGCAGCAAGTACATACAGGTTCCTTGCACTTGACACTCGAGAACATGCCACATAGAGTTGGCCATGGGTAAAGCAGGGAATGCCCAAATGCATGCCGGCCACTTTTAGGGTTTGTCCCTGGGACTTATTGATGGTCATAGCAAATGCCAATTTCAATGGGAACTGCAGCCTTTTGAACTGGAATGGAAAATTGTGGGGTATAATGAGTATGCGGGGGGGGGGGGGAATCAACACGCTCTCGCCTTTAGCTGCTCCCGTAAGTATTGTTGCTCGCACAATGTTTCTTCCCAGTTCGCTGATTTGTAATCTTGTGCCGTTGCACAATCGCGGAGCGTCAAGATTACGCATCAACAAAACTGGGACGCCAACCTTCAGCTCCAGCTTGTGGGGCGGTACGCCCGTCAATTCTAATGAGTTGAGAAACTCCACGGGATACGCAGTGCTGTCATCGCTTGCCATCACCGTGTCTATGGACGTGTACACCCTCGATGCGCCATCTACTACATCTAATACCTTGTTGTTTATTTTATTCACTAATTCATTTTTTGGCGACAGTACTGCTCTCTCAAACAACCACTCCTCATTATTTATTTTGTTTTTTAAATCGGGAAATACATTGGCGAGTAGTTCTTCCTCGGTAGCTACTGGATGACAAAATTCATTGGTGAAAATGATTTTGCCGCCCGGATCGGTTTTCAGCCTACTATCTCCGATCTCGAGCAGCTTACTCGCAAATTACCTGACTCTGTATCATTGTAAAGTTGTGCACGCATATTCCGAGTAAAGTGGAGTTTTTCTACGTGGGACCAAAGTGACGAAGCCTTGAGACACGCGTTCATTTCATCTGCCGGTGTACCCTTTTCGATAACTGGAAGAGTTTGCCGAAAATCACCAGTGAGTACAACAACAGCACCTCCCATCAGCGTCTCATTGCTGCGGATGTCCAGCAGGCTCCGGTTCAAAGCCTCAACCGCGCGCTTGTGTGACATTGTGCACTCGTCCTACACGATTAATTTACATGTGCCAAATTAATATGTTGCAAATATAAATATAATATGATATGTTGCAAAAGGGAACCGCAAATATAATATGTTGCAAAAGGGAACCGCGGTCGCTGCTTTTGCTAATGTTGCACGTTGGGTTTTCTTGACTTCCAAGATTCAGAGGTAGACCGAAGAAATAATCAAAGAGTTAATTGAGAAGTAGATTTAGAAAGCTAAATACAGATCTTAATATAAATATGTAAAGTAAGAGAACAGCTAAGTAGATAGAAAATATAGAAGTTATTTGAGAAAAAATCACACAAAATATCAAGTCAAGTCCGTTAGAATAGCCAAATCGACAAATAGAATCAATTGACAACGCAGAACCAAAACGACACAGAAATCACTTACAACTATCCGCACCGTAGAGTCACAGTCATCTATATCCAAGTAGTTGCGGTAATACAACATCGTAATGTAGAATACTACAGTAATGCCACAGGGTAATGCCATCTGTTGGGCTTAATGTTACTGATTACATTAAAAATGATGTTTTATCTTAAAACATACATGTACATAAAATAGTGTTTAGAAAATCGGCAATATACGTTGTTTTATTTTCTCAAAAACATCGTATTAAAATCTAAACTACTCATCCAATCTATATGGTGTAAAAGACAATTTTCATGTATATTAAATTTTTTCGACGATAAACATATTTATTTCGATAAGGATTTAATATCACCTGCTTAAATAAACGTTTAAAGACGGACGACAAATTTAAATAGACTTATATGAAGTTCTTTTTATTTTTGTGGCAAAACCCTTGCATATAGATATATGACATCGCGGACTTTTTTATAGATAATTTAAGGCTCTCCAACTTTTCTTTAAAAAGCATTCGTATATCTCATACCGTTTAGGCAGCGTTCACAAAAATAGGCGCCGTTGGAGGTACTTTTATCCCTAGGGAACCTTTTGGTGGGATAAAAAGTATCCTATTATCTAAGTCAGGTAATACCCTATCTGTATACCCAATTTCATCAAAATCCGTTCATTCGTTTCGGCGTGATTGACGTACAAACATCCAAACATCCAAACATCCAAACATCCAAACATCCAAACATCTAAACATCCAAACAAAGAAACTTTCACATTTATAATATTAATAGGATGACATCGCGGACTTTTTTATAGATAATTTAAGGCTCTCCAACTTTTCTTTAAAAAGCATTCGTATATCTCATACCGTTTAGGCAGCGTTCACAAAAATAGGCGCCGTTGGAGGTACTTTTATCCCTAGGGAACCTTTTGGTGGGATAAAAAGTATCCTATTATCTAAGTCAGGTAATACCCTATCTGTATACCCAATTTCATCAAAATCCGTTCATTCGTTTCGGCGTGATTGACGTACAAACATCCAAACATCCAAACATCCAAACATCTAAACATCCAAACAAAGAAACTTTCACATTTATAATATTAATAGGATTATGTCTTGCTTGAATTAGACGAAATAAAGCTTTCTCTGCGCGATCAATTTCGTGAAGAGATAAACCTGTATAAAACTTGGTAGACGATTTATATCTAAACCTTAACATCCAAGCAACCATTCTGATTATTTTTGAGTAAGATGAAAAGTAGGTTAGACGATCCAAAAAACACATATCTTCTACCAATAATAATTTTACAGTAGGCTTTCGTATTTCTTCATCTAACTGATGTGTATCTAATGAACAATTAGTAGACGGCCAACGGTCAGAATTTAAATATAGCCAGGATGGACCATCTCACCATTTGGATTCAATAAGTTGCTTGACACCAACACCTCTAGATGGTAAGTCTGCTGGGTTAAGATTCCCTGGGACATGTCGCCAAGCTTGTCGATCGGAATAGGTTCTTATTTCTCGTACTCTATTAGTGACGAAAACACTCCAATCGCCTTTTCCTTTAACCCAACACAACACTACACTAGAATCAGTCCAGTAAAATACTGGGCAATCATTTAGATTTAAACTTGATAGTGCTACATTACCTAATCTAATTGCCAAAATAGCAGCTAATAATTCAAGGCGCGGTATTGTGATCTTTTTGGCTGGAGTCACTCTCGCCTTTGCCATCACTAAACGTACAGAAACTTCGCCTTTAAATTCAGAACGAAGAAAAATACAAGTAGCGTAAGCACTTTTACTTGCATCACAAAATACATGTAATGAATTCTGACACTGTGAAATATCATAACACGTTAATCGCCTTGGTATATTAAGTTCACAAATTAAATATAACTGGTCAGTCCACTTCCTAAATTCCTCACATAAATATGACGGCAACTCTTCATCCCATGAAATTTTATGTGCCCATGATTTCTGTAGTATTATTTTTGGGATAATCGTTGTGGGACAGCAAATGCCTATCGGGTCGAAAATTTTATGAACTATTGACAGCAAGGATCTTTTTGTGATTCGTTCGCTAAGTCTACCTATAAAGTTCACATTACAGCTCAACTCATCTTTGTCTATATTCCATATTATACCCAAAACTGAAGTTGTTGTCGTGTCCTCTAATTTGACCGGGCCTGAAACCCAGCCACGCAAATCGAACATCCCACTCGACATAACTTCTCGAGCCTCCTGCACGAACTTCTTTAATGCGTCTACAGAATTTACACTTGTCACACAATTGTCAACGTAAAACGCTCTTTTTAGTTTTATTGCAGTTTCCTTTAAATTGAGTGGTGCGCGTTCTAGATGAAAATTTATTGTAGCTGCAAGATGGAAAGGACTAGACTTAATACCAAATACTACACGCTTATGACGATAAACAATTATATTTTTATTTGGGTCATTTATATCAGACCACCAAAGAAATTTTAAATAATCCCGGTCTTCGGGAACAAGTGAAATTTGAAGGAATGCTTTGGCTATATCAGCAGTAACTCCAATTGCTTCCTTTCTAAAATCAATTAAAATATTTGGTATTAATTCGATGAGATTTACACCTTTTTCTAAACAGCTATTAATAGATATGCCATGACTGTCTTTGGCCGATGCGTCAAAAACAGGCCTCACCTTAGTCGTCAGACTCGCTTCTTTAATTACAGCATGGTGGGGTAAAAAGTGACCTGACATAGAATTTTGACATGGCGCCTTTTCTATAATTCCTAATTTTAGCCATTCATAGAAAACCTCATCATAACTTTTCATTTTACCTAATGATTGAAGGCGCGTTGTAGTCGATAGCAATCTCTTTTTTGCTAACTCAAAGTTAGAACTAGGCCGTGGTATACCGTCTCGCCATGGCAAACAAACCTCATACCTATTCTCGTTATTAAGATGGATTGTCGACTCAAATTCATCTAATACTGCTTTCTCACGAAATTTAACAGTTTCCTGTTCGCAAGGATCTCGAATCCCCAACGTTTCTAAGTCCCACAGTTCCGAAATATTCATATTAGGCGAGGAGTGGAGAGTCGTACTTACAGTCGAAGCGAAGGCACCTGTAATGGGACCTTGTATTGTCCACCCCACCTTTGTACGTACTGCAGTCAAATTGTTTTCGAGCTGTATAAAATCACCAGTCATTAACATACCTGAAAAGTCCGCACCAATAAGTACAGTCACGTCATCAGGAGTAGAAGTTGTGTCAGTTAAAGTAATACCCTTTCGTTTTAATTGCTCGATCACTACATTAGATCTAACTTTAGGCAAGACTCCACAAATATATTCCTGCCCTAAAACAGAAAGATTCATACAAAAATTATCATTACACAAGCTTATCAAACATATGTTGTAAACAAAATGTTCATGTGAAGTAGTTTCAACGCCGCCGAATAAACAATGTGTAAGTTTCTCCGTATGTGATGGTGTCAATCCTAATTCTTTCGCTAAATTATTCTTGATGTACGATCTTTGAGCACCTGTATCTATGAGTGCGCGAACTAAAATCTCTTTATTGTTTGAAACGAGTTTCACGACTATAGTCTGCAATAAAGTTGTAGTTTCTAATTTGCATAATAACTCTTCCGATTTCTTTATGGGTACCGAAGTAGTTTCTGACTTAGACTCTGATACTTTACTCTCTGGTAAATCTTGACACATTATAGTGACATGACGTTTCTTGCAAAACATACATTTTGGAAAATATTTGCACTTCTTAGCATTATGCGACTTTTTTAAGCAAATTAAGCATGCCTTTTTAGATTCAACAAACTCTAATCTTTCTCTCGGCGTCATTCTCGAAGCTTTATGACACTCTGTAGGTGCATGTGTATCTTTATCACACCACAAGCACTGAACACATTTCACCGAAACTGAACGGTTATTGTTGGTCACATCAGAAATGAAACAAGCTATAGGAGGTTTTGGCGATGAAGTTGACGGGACGTTCCTTAATGAAAGCTGAGTAAATCCTTGACGAGCTAAATTTATTCGTTCTTCAGACTCTACTTCATTCCTTTAGAAAAATCATTATTGAACTCAAGTCATCGTCGTCATCTCCTTCTTTTGTAATTGTTCGTCGCTCAGAACGAATACGATTCCATGATCTAAGCAAATCTTCGGGTAACGTACTTTCTATCATAGGGTACAATATAGAAGCGAACTTATCCTTGGTTACTTTTAGTGTATCTAGTGCTTGAAGATGAGTTTGTAGACTGTCGTACAATTGAGATAAACTGCATGACTCACCTTTTAATTGAGACCACACTAAACTTAACAGACCTCGAACATATGTTTCTATGAGCATATCATCACGTGCAAAACGAGTTTTCAGTGCATTTATAACCTTATCATAGTTGTCTGCACTCGGTGGATAGCTGCGGACAAGTTGACGAGCTGGACTGTTTTCTGTAGTTGATTGAATGAGATATTGAAACTTGTCTATGCCGTTGATATCTGCGTCCATATGATTTTTTTTAAATTTAAATTTTTCACTGTGGTTGAAAATTCACGCCGGAGTTGCGTCCTCTTGCGTTTTAAGACCTCCATAATTGATTTTTATTAAACGGT